AATAGCTCTTCTGCTTTACGCTTAAACATCTTCCAGCCGCTATTCCAGAACTCAGCCATCTCGTGTTTGTAGAAGTCCGACCGCTGGAAGCTCTGGATTACTTCTTCTTCACTCCTACTCCCAGCGGTCGCTCCCGACAGGCCAGCCCCCCCAAACGCCTCCCTTGCCAAGTTACTGGCGATCGCGGCATTGATCGCCATCTGGAAGTCAGCAGACCCCTTGAACTGCTCTACTGCTGCAACACACAAGTCGGGGTATGCTGCCCTCTCAAAGGCTGACTTGGTCTTCTCTTCCTCCAACTCCTTCTCTAACCTCGTCTTCTCCTCCATCGACTTGGCCCGCTCGTCCGCCAACGTCCTTTCCAGCCCAGCAATCTTCAGATCCAACTCTTATTTTTCTTTGATTGACTAAACGCGAAGATCTTTGTTGCTGGACATGGCCTCCTCCCACCGTTCGTTGGCGACGGTGCAGGCTGCTTGGGCCTCTTCTAGCTTCTTCTGCTCGTTCCCCAATTGGAACTCGAGCGACACCACCTTGCGGCGTTCCGCCTCCAACTCTAACTTGGTCGCGAGCAGTTCAGCATTAGCTCGATCGGCTGAGTACCCCTACACCATCGCCAACACTTGCATCTTCTTGGCCTTTTGGGCCTCTTTCAACCCCCTAGCGCACACACTTCGCGCGGTCTTCCTCCATCCAGCAGTTTTTCTCCTCAAACTTTCAAGTTGGGCCTTTGCTTCTTCCAACTTTACCTTCAGTGGCCCCACTTCGCCTTTGGCTGCCGCCGCCTTTCTCAATAGGGCTCCTGCTAAGGCAGTGGCCTCCATTTGGGAGAAACACAGACCCTTTAGCAGCTCAGCCTCAGTAAAACAGGCCACCGAGCTTACGGTCGCTTCTTCCACTACCCCCAAAAGGCGATCTACAGCTGTTCTGGCTGGGCCTCCTTCTCCCTCCAGTCGCCCAGACGCTACTGGCGCATGGTAGATGGCAATCTTCAGCCTGACCCCCTCTCCTTGGGGCGCAAGCACCCCCTTGGGCTACTGCTCCACCCCCTCCTCAAGGCCAGCTGACCGACTCTCTGCTTGCATCTTGGGGCCCATGGCACTCATGGGCTCTTCTCCTTCTTGGCCCCCTTGGCCAGTCGCCCCACTCTTCGTCCCCCTTGTTTCCCCCAATCCCACTTCGGGGGTCTCCTCCGTCGTCACCTCCTTCCTCCTCTTCAGGGCTAGCCCCTCCTCCCTCTCCCTTACCCTCCTCTTTTTCTTCGCCACAGCCTCCACCTCCTTCTTGGCCCTTTCCTTCAAAGGATCAATTAGGGGCAGTCGTGGCTCAAATTCACCCAAGTCTTTTTCCCCCAGCGGTTTGGGGCGCGGTCGGATCCTTTCCCTCATGATCGGCTTCGGTGGCCGGTCTGCCTATGACTCTTTGAATTTACTAGCCTTGGCGAGAATGGTCCTATCCTTCGCCTCTTGTATCTTCCTTCTTGCCTCTAATTCCACCGATTCCAGGTCTCCACCGGTCAGCTGAGGGCCCAACTTTGCGGCAAACAAGGCTGACGGCTGAACAAGCTCGTCCCATTTGGCGCCCTCCTTCTCCCTCCATACCTTCACCATCTTCACCCTCTTCTTAGCTGCTACCCCCAACTTTGGCTCCACAGACTTGGTGGGCACTCTAACTCCTCCATTTGTGGACATGTAGAACCACCGCGGTCTCTACCCCTTTATTGATGACGGCAAACCCGCCACCAGGCCCCTCCCTGCCGCCGCCTGCAAAGTGACCCAAGTTTCTTGTTGCCTCAAGGCCTTGTAGCATGCAAAAAACTCGTCCACTATCATAGCCGCCCCCTCGTTCGCCCTCGGCCACGCGTTCGCATAGGCCAGTACAATCTTCTACGCGTTGGGCATTAGTTGACCTGGCGTCACTTCCAACCGGTTTAGGACATCCACTACCACCTGCGGAAACGGCAACCTCAACCCTCTATTCAACACCTCTTCGTAAAGGGCAAACTTCCCCGGTCGGGCGTCAGATGGCCTCTCCTTCGTTGTCGGCAGCTTTAACTTTATTTCTGCGGGAATCTGGTATTTCTCGCGTATATCCACCAACTCCTCCGCGGTAATAGTCGACTTATCGACTTTCGTATGCCAGTGATCTAGCTCAACCTGGCTGATTGGCTGCGTAGCCGTTATCATTGTGAACGAACGAGGTCGCCCCACCGACTCCCCCTCACTTCCCACTCGCCTCTCCGTCCGGTATTGTTCTGCCAAATCCACCGCATCGTCGTCACCCAATGGATCGACCCTTGCGTTTGTTGCTTCCTCTTGGGCCATCTCTCTCGTATGTCTACGAATAGCTTCAGATGCTGGTGCGAGATAGTTTACGAAGTGTTGCAGGGGTGTATCACTAGCGACGAAGGAGTTTACACTTGGAATATTTTGGTTGTTTGCAAAAAGATACGTGAAACGGATAATACCAAAAGCCCAAGGTTTGCCTATATTCCAATGGTCACAATTAAATTTCGCCAGTTTGAAATTTTTAAAAAATTTTTGCCAAAACTGTCTTTTCGATACCCTGTAATGACCTATCATTTCACTTCTTGCCCAACGCCTAACCTTCCCCACTATAGGATCCTGCCACGTATACGACCACCATTTACTGCCCCCCCACCTACCCTGTCTTTTCCACTTCAAATCACCACGTGCCTCGCCGTCCCTCGAGCCCCGCGTACCACCACCCACCCTTTGCGGTCAGCCCTCCTTATGGTCGGTCCCTCCGCTCGGCCACCCTTCGCAGTCGGCCCTCCTCATGGTCAGTTCCTCCGCTCGGCCACCCTTCACGGTCGGCCCTCCTCATGGCTGGTCCCTCCTCTCGGCCACCCTTCGCGGTCGGCCCTCCTCATGGTCGGTCCCTCCACTCGGCCACCCTTTGCAGTCGGCCCTCCTCATCGTCGGTCACTCCTTTCGGTCGGCCTTCACCTTGCTGGTCTGTCACAACCCTCATTTTCTTCATTATTCCCTTCGTTGGGTTAAAGTTGCACTTGGGAATGGGGGACTACTAACATGGGTAAGCCCATAAAGATTATAGCCCACCATTTAGGACCCAATACATAACTCAAATACTAAAGCCCAGCATTGCTGAAGCCCCACGTAGCAATAAGAACCAATGGCAGCAAGACACATGGCAAGAGAAGGGCAAGCCACATAAGCAGACAAAGATCTGCAAAGTTATTGCCACTACACATCGCCATTAATGAAGCCCCTTACAGCATTTATTGCGATATCCCCTCTCTGTCGAGACAGAACGCCTTCACCATGAACAAGGTAAACTAGAGCATAGACTTTCGGCTAAGGTGACAGGTCGGAAGGGATAACGAAATGATTACCGGAGAATATAAGCAGACGTCGAAGACAAGAAGAAGGTTAAGCTTTTCTATCTCTAATTTATCTCTACATTTCGTTTCTCTCTCTAACTTGCTCGTCGAAGGGTCCGCTGGGGGACTCCCCGTTTCCCGTTGAACTCGTGTGCAAGTTTTCTAGTGGGCTTGATCATTTGGACACCGGTTTGAAAAGCGTGGATCAACCCAATCCGTTCCATCTAGAACACGCTGTATCAACAGAACTTATCATTTTATGTGAGATCATTACAAGTGCACATATTAAGCCTATGTTTGGCAAGAAGGTTTGGGTGGGTTTGGGGCTAAAATAGCCACAAAAAACAAAATAGGCTATTTTAGTCACAAAAAACAAAACATCAAATCTAACCCCTAATCATTACAATCCTCTCTCACAAAAAAAGTCAAAAAAGCCAAAAAGCCAAAAAGCTCTTCCCAAACCAGGCTAAAATAGCCCAGGCTAAAATAGCCAAAAAGCCAAAAAGCCAAAAAGCCAACCCACTTCCCAAACGGAGGCTAAGTTCATTTTCTTTCTGTGGATTCATCGTTACTATTTTATGTAGTATTTTTTTCATAATATATATAATTTATAAAGAAAATAGCACTTGATAGCTTTAAAATAATTATATTATATATGAGAATTTTCAAGTTTACGTATTCCGCACATTATAGGACTTGCTCCCATACAAGAGGACGGGTATCACATGAAAATGATATTATTTTACAATTGTCTAATTGATTTGTAATTTTCTTTTATATTATATATCACAAAAAAAAAGTTATTACATTACAATGAGGGCCAGTCTGAGATTGGACTAGAATGTGTTTTTGGATTTGTGGAGATTTATCATAAATTTTGTTTTGATAATTCGAATCGTTTAATGTATAGAATTTGTTGAATAATTTATTTTTGTAAAAAATCATATTAATTGGATATCGATAGTTATTTAATCAGATCATATTTCTGTCAACGGTAAATATAATTTTTAAAATAAATTATTGATAAAAATCTAATTTAATAAAGTAACCATCGATATCCCATTAACGTAATTTTTTTATAAAAATAAAATACTCAATGACTATCGATAATGTGATTTTTTATAAAAATAAAACACTCAATAAATTATATTTATTAAGTAATTTAAATTACCAAATTAAGAACTAGATTTTACAGCCTATTAACACTCTTTAATTCACAAAATAAATGGAAGACAGACCCCACTCTTACAATAATATGATGACTGGACCACATTAATCAAATATATTGATGAAAAAAAAACTGATATAATTATTTGGTTAGTGGACAGTAGTATTAAATTAAAGGAGTTTTTTTAAGTGTGCAAGTGCACATCATGTGTCATTTACACAAAAAGTGTAAGTGTAAGGTGTAAGTATAAGTATAAGGTGTAAGTGTAAGGTGTAAGGGTAAGGTGTAAGGTGTAAGTGGGTTGCACATGGTGTGCAACCTCAAAAAAGGTGTAAGTGTAAGATTTAATTTTTTACAAAAAGTATAAATGTAAGGTGTAAGTGTAAGGTATAAGGTGTAAGGTGTAAGGTGTAAGTTGCACACTATAACCAAACCCTAAATTAAATGCCCATTTATTCATTCCAACATCCCTTCCCTCAGTCTCGCTGTCAGTGCCACGGCCACGGTCACTACTCTCTCTCTCTCTGTCTCTCTCTGCCATGTCCATGGCTAAACCACCACCACCACCACCACCACCACCGACACCCACAACCGAAAAGCCAAGTCTGAAGAATGGTTCAACATCATCATCCTTGTCTTCCTTGATTCGAAGGTCCATAGCCTTCCCTTATGGCTTTGGCTTCGCTTTCGCCTTCCTCGCTTTCTCCATCTTCTCTCTCCTCAACAATTACTACGACTCTGCCATTTCCTTCAACAATCGATCTCACTTCTCCACCGTTTTCTCTCACTTCTTCTTCTTCCCTTCTTCTTCTCCCCAGCTTCCCATTACCAGATCCAACACCAATCCTCCCCGAGAAGATGATATAAAAGGGTTTCAGGAAGAGAAAACAGTGATGAATAATGATGGGCTTTTGTCGAATAAACAAGTGAAGCAACAAACTAAAGAGGAGTGGTTGGATTCGATCGATCATTGTAATCTGTACAATGGGTCATGGGTGAGGGATGATGATTCTTATCCTCTGTATGAAGCTGGGTCATGTCCTCATATCGACGAGCAATTCAATTGTTTTCTGAATGGAAGGCCAGATAACAAGTTTGAGAATTTCAGATGGCAACCCAATGGCTGCAACATTCCAAGGCAAGTTAACATATTACTACTACTTTGCCATTTTGGGTTTTCTATGTATATAGAATTTTGATGATTATTATGTTATGTATGTGTTTGTTAATATTTGGTTTTGTGGGTTGTTAGTTAGGAATCCCTAACACCTAACCCTCCTTGACAAACTACTACTTTGCAATTTTGGGTTTTGTTTTGTTTTGTTTTGTTTTGTTTATAAATGTATATATATATATATAACTGATGAAGTTTTTGTTTTTTGTTAGTATTCTGTAATACCTAATCTGATTTGAGACATAAGAATAAATGCACATGTATTGTAAATTATACGCACGCACAAAGGATACAAGATTTGCATAGTTCACCTCAAAACTAGAGTTACTTTCACGGTCACTGTGATTCCACACTGAGAAAAAAAAGGGTTACAGAAGAAATACAGAGATAGCTGCCCCCTTCAACGTATAAATATAGATATTAGGGCAACATGTCACAAGTAGAAAAATACCAAAAAATTACTCTTTACTCCAAATTGCACCAGTAAGGTTGGTTTTAGTTGCAAATGTTAAGCATGTTGAATGGCAAGTTTATGTTGGAATTATTGAGACAATCAGCGGCTGCAACATTCCAAGAAAAGTTACAAGAGTAGTAAATTTTTATTTTTATTTTGGGTTCTTCACTATTTTTTTCCTTCTTTATATAGCTGATTTCTATTTGTATGTGATTGTGAGTTCTGTTTTAGTTGGACTGGTTGTATTTGTATATGTTTTGCAGTTGCTCTTTGAATTGTTGATCTATGTTTTCTTAATATTAGTCTGTGGATTCTGCTTTTTGTGAGATTGGTTTAGTTGAACTTGTTTTGCAGATTGAATGGTAGAGAATTGTTGGAATTATTAAGAGGAAAGCGATTAGTGTATGTGGGTGATTCTCTGAATAGGAATATGTGGGAGTCGATGGTTTGTATTCTTAGAAATTCAGTAGAAGATAAGAGCAAAGTCTTTGAAGCTTCTGGTAAAAATGACTTTCGATCTGCGGGTTCATACTCTTTCATATTTGCAGTATGTGTTTCCTTTTCATCCTTAATCTTTCCCACAAATTAGTATTTTGAGCATTTGGAGACTTGTCTTGCTTTTATAAGAAAATATTACATTGAGTTTAGCTCTCAAGAGCAAAAATTACTAATGTCCTATTATTTTAATCGGTTTGCTTGCTTTTGTTAAACTAGAATTCTTGGCTAATTATGGGTTGCATAATTTAATAGGATTATAATTGCTCGGTGGAGTTCTTTCGGTCTTCATTTTTGGTTCAAGAATGGGAAATGGCTTACACGAACGGATTGAAAAGGGCAACACTTCGTCTTGATGTGATGGAAAGATCATCCGATAGATACAAAAGCGCAAATGTACTCATCTTTAACACTGGACACTGGTGGACTCGTGGGAGAACCGCGAGAGGGTATGCTTTGTCTCCTTTATAGCATTGATACAAGTGCATACCAATATTTAAAATTCCCTATACTAAGGAACTGATGCAAAAGAATAAAAGTAAAAACTAACAAAAAAGAAGAAAAAAACCTTGTAGGAAGGGTTACTTTCAAGAAGGTAGCCATATCTACAGTAAATTGAACCTTATAGAGGCATTTCGGAAAGCAATGATGACATGGGCAAGGTGGATTGATGCCAATATAGATCCAGTGAAGACGCTCGTGTTCTTTAGGGGCTACTCTGCTGCACATTTTAGGTACTTTAAACACAATTTTCTATACAGTTATCTACAGAGTTTAGTGTGAAAAAACTGAAAAAATATTTAATTGGCAGAGGTGGACAATGGAATTCTGGAGGGAAATGTGACAGTGAATCAGAGCCAATCAAGAATGCAACATATCTTTCTGAATATCCACAGAAAATGAGAGTGTTGGAGGGGTTGATGAAAGGGATGAAGACACCAGTCTTCTATCTGAACATCACAAGAATGACAGATTATCGCAAGGATGCACACCCATCAATTTACAGGAAGCTGAAATTCACGGAGGAGGAGAGACGATCACCATTGAGATTCCAAGATTGCAGCCATTGGTGCCTTCCTGGTGTACCTGACACGTGGAATGAACTCCTATATGTTCAACTCTGGACAAGATATATTAAGGAGCAACAACAACAACAACAGCACTGAGAACAGCAGCAGAAAAGACTGTCAAGTAAAACTAACAACACAGCTCATTAACACATTCATTGTTTAATTTCACACTAACGAGTATTTGTATCACTTTGGTTTTCCTTGATAAGCATGAAATATTTTATCTACTGAACCAGGTGATTCATGAATCGGGATCCTTATGCATATAGATACAAATGGTCCAATGGGAGCAAGAATTTATAGGAACATTAACAAATGGGGGGAAAATGAGACGTGACGAACTTGTCAGAGTAGATTTAATGGGAGAGAGAAGTGCTCATACAAACATGGATTTGGTGTAGTGTTTGCAGTTCTGATGAGGGCTTTCTCTCGCTTTAGAAAGATTATAACTTACTCATGAAGTTCATTAAAAAAAAACTGTCTGCCTTTGTTGACTGGATGGCCTTGTTCAGATTGATTCTTTCAATTGCAGTGTAATTTATGTAATTCAGCCAAGAATATGCACTTGTTTTATATTGGAGATGCTCTGTTTGATTGCTTTCATTGCTGCATATGACTGCTGATTGTTGGGTTCTATTTATGTATTTATCTTCTGCCTTTATGACTTACAGAACATTCATTTGATAACAAAACTATGATATTTTATTCCTTCAAAAAAAAAAAAAAAAAACTATGATATTTATCCGCACAACTTTAACACTAGTAAGTAAACCCTTTCATTTATTTTCTTTATTTCTTTTATTTGCTTTAACATCAAGTACAAACTATGAATTAACCACCCGGCAGTTCTTCGGAATCTGTCCACTTGACCCTGTTAAAGGACTTATATTCCCCAGCTTGATCATGGAATTAGCAAAGTCATCAAGGAAAAGGTCGGGATTAGAGCAATAGGGCTTTACCAAACTTTAGTCTCGTTAGAGAAATAGGGTTTGGTCGCATTGAAGAAGACCCTCTCCGGTTCTGTATTGTTTCCATCTCCATCGACCGGGCATCTCTCTCTTAGTTCATACACAAAGGTGGGGTCCATTGTGCTGTCTGGGGCACCTGTGCCTGAGAAGTTGCACAACCTATTGCTACCCCAATGGCATGGGCACCTGCACATGAATTAACCCACATATGGGTTCACATAACACTTACCAAAATTCTTTGGATACCCTATTTTATAATTTTTTTTATTACAATTATACCATAAAGTAAAATTACATTAAAAGACATTATTAAATGGAACACCTACCTATCAATAAGAACTAATATTCTATAATATTGGACACCTACCCCCACTCCCACCTCTAATTCCAACTATACGTATTTCATGTTTGTAAACTCAAAACCTATTACTTTTTTTTCATAATCATCTTAAATCTTGAATGTGTCATCTTCATCACCATCATTAACGCTATTGAACTTGAAAGTTTTGCTTCAAGTGTAACGTATACTTCATCACTTATTTCACTGTGTAGAGTAATGGAGGACGAGGACAACAATTCTAGTGAGACCGATGTTCCATTAGTAAGTTTATCTGTCTTGTATTAACATTCTCGGTTTTTTTTGGTCGTTTTTGTTTCATTCGATCTGTTTGGTATTGGTTTGCTGACTGTTAGAATTATGTTCGGTAATACAGTACTGAACATAATCCTTTCGTCCAATACATAGATTCCGAACATTAATGCAGATAGTCAGTACTGTTGAACCGAATATCATCTTTATTTTCGTCACTGTTGAACTGAACAAAACCATTAGTTTCGAGACTGTTGAAATGAACATCATTTTTTCAATTTTGAAATTACATTCATACGTGTTTTCGGGGTGATGCTTCGACTAGAGGTAGTAAGGTTGATTCAGAACTTGTAATGGATTATAGTAATGAATTTGTGTAAAAATTTATGTATTATTGATTTTTATGTTATGTTTACAATGAGTCCTATATATAGAAGATTAGAGGAGGTAGGTATGTAGTAGGTGGAGTATGTGAAGTGGGTGGAGTAGGTGTAGTGGTAGGTTTTGCCTTTTTTGTCTTCTTTTATGTGCAATAATTGGTTAGTTTAAGTTATTTATTTTAGATATTCAAGAGTCAAGATGAGTTAATTCGATGGGCACGTCAAGTTGGAAGAAGAAATGGATTCGTTATTGTCGTGCAGAAATCAGATGGGGGTGATATTCGAGGTAGGAAGCCAAGACTTAGCTTAACTTGTGAGAGGAGTGGATCTTATAGGGACACTTGAAAAAACAGCAGGCCTAAGACAAAAAAAGCAAGACTGACTGGTACAAAAAAATGTGAATGTTCTTTTTTATTGAAGGGCAAAAAATTAGCCACAAATGATGATTGGATCTTGATAGTTGTTTGTGGTGTGCATAATTATCCTGCTGCATAATATCTTGAGGGTCATTCTTATGCTGGAAGGTTGTCACATGAGGAAACCTCTTTGGTAGACATGTCGAAGAGTATGGTACGACCGAGTGAGATATTGGTTACATTGAAACAACGTGCACTGGATGGTTGTGGCAGACCGTTGTAGCAGATAAAGTCTGGACAGTTGACGAGGTCACACCGGACCGATGGAGAAGCTAACCGGAATCAATGTCGGGACAGTTTATGGGGTCATATCGGACCGTTGTAAAAGTCACACCCTCAAAAGGTGTGCCCGATCTTTCAAAAGGCGTGCCATCAAAAGGCGTGCCCAATCCATAAAAAGGCGTGCCATCAAAAGGCGCGTCCAAGTTGTCGTCGAGTGCCGAGTGGCGCATGATGCGCGTGTCTGCCTTGGCTATTTAACCAGGACGGAGGCTGAGGCTGAGGCGAAGGCTAAGACAGAAAAACTGAGAGAAACCTCTGAAAAATTCTTCCTTTGCTGAGAGAGAAACTCTGTAATACGCTGTAACACTCTGTTGCCCAGAAAATGGCTTCGTCTTCCCGTGGGCTGCTCACTCTCTTTCCCGACCTCAATGAGTCAACAAGAGAGAGAACTGGTGCGGTGGCCAGTGAACCTCAACCAAACACCTCTGTGTTTGCTCCGTTGAACTTTCCGATGCGGTCGGTGGAGCAAAAAATGGCGGTGCAAACTGATATTGAGGCCAATCAGTATACTCTGAAGTCATGTGTGGAAACCATGACAGTTGCAATCTTGCAGAAACCCACTCTGCACTTAAATCATTAAAATCAAAGAGGGATCACCCGCCGCTCGCCGTCGATCGATCGAGAGAGAGAGGGGGGGGGGAAGAAGAGATTAGGGATTTTTGGATTTGAGATTGGGGATTTTTTTGTTTTTTTTTTTTTTTTTGGGGGGGGGGGGGGAAAAAAAAAAAGGGGGGGGGTTTTTTTTTTTTTTTTTTTTTTTTTTTTTTTTTTTTTTTTTTTTTTTTTTGGTGGAATATAAAAAAAATAATAATAAGAGAATGGAAAAACGGGGGATGCTCACTAACCAGGAGAGGGAAAATATAGTATAATAAAAATATATATATAGATATATATTAAAAATAAAAGAAAAAGGTGAAAGAATGTGGGTGGAATAAATTAAGAGAAAGGAGAGATATGATTAAAGTGGGTTTGAAAGTGGGAAAAGATGAGAGAGAGGGATGTCCCGCATGTGTGTGTATGGGGCAGTGTGTGGAGTGTGTGCCCATGTGAAGGCCAAGCTTTTCAGTCGGCTGTTTGCAAAGAAAGAGATGCGCATATTGATGGTGGGTGGAGAATATGTTAGAATAGAATAGAAAAATATATGTCTCTCCCTGAACCATTTGTCTCTCGTCCCAAACAACAAAAGATGCCAGCTTGAAACCATACTTCAAGACCAGACACCACTCAAGCAAACCCACGTTCCTGCGATCCAAACGGGTTCCAAGTTCACAATGACCTAAAATGATACCGCCGTGCGCGTGGCTTTGGTTTCCTCTCCTTTGTAGTATCCGTCGCCCCAACCCAGCAAAGATCCGCCGGAGTAGTCGCCGGAGGAGGATTGCCAGAAGATGGCGTATGTCCAGCTTTCTCGAGCACCCTCGATGAGGGCTTGAAGGAGTTGCTGGAGAGGCGCTTGGTTGAAGAGCGGCGGCGAGAGGTGGTGGTTCGCGGTGGTGGAGTCGGAGGAAGACAGCGGTAAAGAAGAGTATATGCCTTGAGATTTCATCGCCATCCGCTACACTCCGTCGTCCACCTTGGTGGGATCTGTCAATGGCGCCGGAAGGGTTAGTTTGATGTGTGAACCTCACCTCCCTGACTCACACTACTGCTGGTGATTGAAGAAGCAGAAGCCTGATCAGATTGCTGAACACTAGGATGAGAAGCGGGCCCACTCTTCGATAAACTCAAACCAACCGAACCACTAGATGTGCTTGTCGAAGAAGACATCCTGGTTGAAATGGCATCCTTGTTGGACCCCAAAATAAGTTCATGCCTCAACTCTGAAGAGGATGATGGAGCCAGAGTACCCATGGAAGATCCAATAGGGTAAGGAGCAACTGGCATATCAGCAAGAGAAGATGCAGATGAACTGTAACTCAGTGTTCCCGAGGGATAATCAAATTTGCATGAGGACCCAAATTTGCGAACTCCATTTTGAGCATAGTGTGTGCAAAGCTGGGCACCCAGACGTAAGGGAAGACCCATCAGACTAAGAACAAAATTCATTTGTGGCAAACTCCATTCTGGTGGATGATGGAGTGGGGTCCACGACTGTGTGAACAGCTTCATTCCTCTGGAATTGGTGATGTACCTCTCTCTCTCTCTCTCTGCTATTAATGTTAATAGGATGAAAAACTGATGGCTGAATGTGTGATGTGCAGTGTTGCTTGTATGTTGTGTGAATGTTGTGAAGAATTGGTGCAAGAATGGAAGAGAGAGACAAGAGTTCAGTTATGGAATTTTTGGCAGCAGATGGGAGGTATGTGTAGAGGTCCGGCGGGTGGCCAAGGCGAGGCTGCCGCCCGCCGGTGAAGCAGAATTACTAGTTTCTTAACTCGTGCTCTGATACCATGTAAAGATTTATGTATTATTGATTTTTATGTTATGTTTACAATGAGTCCTATATATAGAAGATTAGAGGAGGTAGGTATGTAGTAGGTGGAGTAGTAGGTGGAGTAGGTGAAGTGGGTGGAGTAGGTGTAGTGGTAGGTTTTGTTACTCATGAGGTGAGTCTTTGATTGTTTTACAAATAATGTACATTTTTTATGTGCAATAATTGGTTAGTTTAATTTACTTATTTTAGATATTCAAGAGTCGAGATGAGTTAATTCGATGGGCACGTCAAGTTGAAAGAAGAAATGGATTCGTTATTGTCGTGCAGAAATCAGATGAGGGTGATATTCGAGGTAGGAAGCCAAGACTTAGCTTAACTTGTGAGAGAAGTGGATCTTATAGGGACACTTGAAAAAACAGCAGGCCTAAGACAAAAAAAGCAAGACTGACTGGTACAAAAAAATGTGAATGTTAAAAAATTAGCCACAAATGATGATTGGATCTTGATAGTTGTTTGTGGTGTGCATAATTATCCTACTGCATAATATCTTGAGGGTCATTCTTATGCTAGAAGGTTGTCACATGAGGAAACCTCTTTGGTAGACATGTCGAAGAGTATGGTACGACCGAGTGAGATATTGGTTACATTGAAACAACGTGATGATGCAAATGCTTCCACAATGAAGACAATTTACAACGCACGTCATAGGTATAAAGTTGCTGAGAACGCTGGAAGATCTCAAATGCAACAACTATTAGGTCAGTTAGCAATGAACAAGTACATTGAGTGGCATAAGAGCTGTGCAGATACTGAGACAGTGACTGATTTGTTCTTTGCACATCCTACTAGTTTGAAGTTGTTACATGCATTTCTAAAAGTATTGTTGATGGATTGTACTTATAAGACTAATCGATATCGGTTTCCCCTTCTGCAGATTGTAGGTGTGACATCGATAAACACGACCTTTTCAGTTGCATTTGCATACCTCTAGTATAAGAAGGAGGATAACTATACATGGGCACTTGGTCTTTTGCGTAGTGTCATGGATGAAAATACTCTTCCTTCTGTTATTGTCACAGACAAAGAATTGGCCCTTATGAATGCCATATGTACGGTGTTTCCTGCAACTACAAATTTGTTGTATAGATGGCATATTAGAAAAAATGTGCTTGCTAATTGCAAAAAGATGTTTGAGACAAAGGATAAATGGGAAATGTTTATAATGAGTTGGAATATGTTGGTTATGTCATCGTCTGAAGAAGAATACATACAACGACTGTCTTTGTTATATAGTGAGTTCAGTACTTATCAAGATGCACTTCATTATGTTACCTTATCTTGGTTGGATCCATACAAGTCGAAATTTGTGGCTGCTTGGACTGACACATTTATGCACTTTGGAAATTCTACAACAAATAGGTAAATATGAACATTTAAATTTATAAGTTGTTTGATTTTTTATAACATTATTTTTATAACAGTTTATTTTCATATATAGGGTTGAGAGTTCACATGCAAAACTTAAAAGATATCTTAATCAAGTCAAGGAAATTTTGAGTCGAATTGGACAAGGATACACAATTTACTTAAGTTGCAACATAGTGAAATAAAATCATCATTTGAGAAAAGCAAGATAGTTGTGCAATATAATTTCAAACCTGCGCAGTTTAAGGAGCTTCGTTGTAATGTCTCAATTACTGCATTAGAGATCATATTGGCAGTGTGATAACCCTGTTCCGTACTATGCTAATTGGTCCTTATTATGAATATGATTATGTGTTTGATATGTTTATGTGTGCCATTTATGTGAAAATATGTGGTTTTGAATTTCCATCTGTTCACCGTAGGAATATCTGTTTGATTATCTGCTTTGGAATTTAAATTGAAGGCTTTATCGGCCACAGAAACCAAAATTGATTGCGCCATTGTGATTGGCATAATTTTTAGAGCCTAAGGTGAAATTTAATTGAAAATTGATTCAGATCAGATTAATTAGATTAAATTAATGCTATAATGCCCAATTATTTAATATTGACAATTATAATTGAGGGAAATTATATAAGTGGGGCACTATACACCCAATTCTCCTTTTTAGCTTCATTTTGGCTGATTTTGAACTCAAGAAAAGAGAGAGGGCCGGCTAGAGAGAGAGAGAGGGAAACAATTGAAGATTTGCTCAAGAAGCTTGAATAAATTGAAGACTAACTCAAGATTTGACCATAAATTGAGAAGATTAAGCTTCTAGGTGAGCAATTGATTATGAAGTTATGAGTTTAATGTTGTAATTTGTGAATTCAAAGTTGAATAATGATAAAGAATATGAATTGAGTTAGTTTTGTTGAATTTGAAGTCAATAGACACATGCATGTAGGAAATTGCTATAAATTTCCATGTTTGAGCATAAAGTGTGTAATCCATGTTGAATGTGAATGAAGTTCATGTATTTGATCATCTCTTCACCAATTAAGTTGAGAATAATGAGTATCTCCTACATGCAAGTGCAAATCATGAAAGTGTGAGCTTTGAATGTTTGAATTTAGTGTGTTGGTGATGAGTTTGAGTCAATTTGGAACATGCATGTAAGTAATTCTTGGAATTGAGCTTCATAATGTTGTAATTTGGTGTTTGTACCATGTTAATACATGTATATGCAAAGTTTGAGCCAAAATCATGTGTTTAGAGCCTTTGAATGTCAGTTGAAGCTCAAGAACATGTTCTGGAAAATCCAAAAATTTTGATGTTCGCTCGAGCGGGGGATCCGCCGCTCGAGCGTAAAATACGAGCTCCTAGTATTTTCTACAGACATGATGTCCGCTTAAGCGGAGAGCTATGTAGACTGATCTTCAGCTCGAGCATCCGAGTTCGCGTTCGAGCGTGAAAATGTTGTATCTAGTACTTTTGCAAACCTCATGGGTCCGCTAGAGCGGGAAAGTTCACGCTCGAGCGGGGACCCCTATTTCTAGAATTTTGAGAATACGTTCTGTGTTTCGTTTTCCATTCCCTTTCACTTCTAAGTACTCTTAGGCATGCATTAAGTATTGAAAATGAGTTAAAAAGGATACGAATAAAGCCTAAAGAGGAATATGTGAATTAAGAACGGATTGAATCATTTGTGACCCATTTGTGTTATGTGATGTGTAGGGTCAAGCCCCAGGGCAAATCAACCAACCGATCACTATGAGCAGTATCTTAATAAAGATATTTGAAATATGCTATTTATCCAATTGCTTAGCTTCTTACAAGTTTGTTAATTTGAATTATGGACAAACGTTTGCTATGCCTAAAGAGCAAATAGGCCAGAGGCCGTATGACATGAATGAATGGGCCAAAGGCCAATTTGACACGAATGAGAGAATGAATGGGCCAAAGACCAGTCTGACATGAATGAGAGAATGAATGGGCCAAAAGCCAGTCTGACATGAATGATAAAGTGAATAGGCCAAAGGCCAGTTTGACACGAATGAGAGAATGAATGGGGCAAAGGCCAATCTGACATGAATGAGAGAATGAATAGGCCAAAGATCAGTCTGACATGAATAAGAGAATGAATGGGCCAAAGGCCAGTCTGACATGAATGATAGTTTGACATGAATAATGATCTGACGTGAATGAATGGGCCAGAGGCCGTTGGATATGAATGAATGTGCCAGAGGCCAGTTTGACATGAAAGATAGAATGAATGGGCCAAGGGCCAATTTGACACTAATGAACACTAATGAAAGTATGAATGGGCCAAAGGCCAGTTTGACAAGAATGGATTGGGCCCGAGGCCGTCTGATATGTTTGGAACTGCAGTTACCTACCCTATGTATACCTATATATATATATTAGATAGAATATGAATTGGGCCCAAGGTCGTTTGTCGTATGTTGTTCTAATGTATCTTCTTTATTCGATATTGTTTACTGAGCTTTCGCTCACGCTCATTCATGTGTATGTAGGTGAGCCAAGAGCGATCCAAATCCAGCCTCAGTGAAGTCTGTGTAGAACAACCAAGGTTTTGAGGAGCCAGCCCTTGTGTCTCACGCACGAGACACATCTTCGCCCTTTTGCTATCTTGTGTCATTTTGTCATGTTGGCGAGGACTTTGGATACGTTTGTATATAGTTTTGATTGGCTGACCTAGACTTGAATGATCCTGTCTGTACAGAACTTTATGCTACTGTATTGTCTGATGTGAGTTATTAATATCTTTATGTATGGTTTGTTATGACGTGCCATGTAAGCACAACTCTATGGACAAAGTTTTAAATTCTGCTTCCGTTTGACCCCTTTACTCTGATGAGTTATGTCTGATTTGGTTTGAGGCCGTAGGTAATTTTAGGATTACCGGCCGGTTATGTCCTTAACCCATGGGGGCGGGTTCGGGTCATGATAGGCAGAGTCTAAATGAGCATCTTCTGTTAGTGTTAATACTACTGCATGTAGATGTGTTGTTCGACGTACTCATGGTTTGCCATATGCACATGAGATAGCAAATTACATGAGGGAAAATCGGCCAATTCCCCTCACTTCGGTTTATTCATATTGGACTAAGCTTGATATGTTGAGTACCCCACACATTGTAAGTGAAGAGTAGACTTGTACACCTGAATTAGAATTGTTTGCCAAATGATTCGAGGAAGTGGATCCAGATATGAAGAGGTTTTTGTTACAAAAATTGAGGGAGTTAGCCAAACCTGATTGTACATTTTTGATTGAGCCAGAAGTGAAGTCTAATCCACGGGGTCGACCAAAATTGAAGATTGAGACCTCCACTCGTCGTGAGCCATCTGTGTTTGAAATAGTTGCTTCAGCACAAGATAGTTATTCACCTGGAGTCATTGCCAAGACGAGTGTAACAACAAAAAAGGTGAAAACAAAGAAGAAAGAAAAGGTACATGGTTTACTAGTGAGGTATGTAATTGTGTTATGTTGTCTACTTTATTATCTAACATTGGCATTGGCCTGTGATAGGTTCACCGGCTTCAATCATTGAATCCAAATTGCTTTTTAGAGGCATTCTCTTCTGAATTGAGATGATATATTAAATACGTTGAGGATGTTGCAGCAGATGGCAATAGTGGGTTTCAAGCTATTGCTGGTTTGATGGGTTTTGGAGAAGAATGATGGTTACAAGTGAGAAAAGATTTACTTAAAGAGTTGCATACGCATAGTGACTACTACAGGAAATTATTTGGATCACAAGAGAGAATCGATGACCTTACCAACATCTTGGCATATTTCGAACCAAACCCTGGGTTGGACCAGTGGATGACGATGCCTGACATGGGTCATCTTATGTCGTCTTTCTACCAAGTCGTTTTGGTCCACTTGTCTATGCAACAATGTCTGACATTCCTCTCTCTTAGGTCAATACCGACGTCTGTTGCCTCTCGCAAGGAGATATGTATTGGCTTTGTCAACAACAACCATTTTGTTCAAGTATTGGTTTCTAATATTTTTGTACATTTTAGTACATTATAACGACAAATTTCGTAATAATGATAACATTTTTGTACATTCTAATATATATATATATATATTGTAGCTCATTTTGGAGCTTGGTTAGCCTATTCCACCCATAGTAACTAACTGGCGGAGGTACCATAACCCTTGTGCAGTAGGCTGGGAGGTTGCATACAGTTCCAGAGTACAACATTTCAAATCACTCATTAGTCTAGACATAGCCACAATCGAAACAGTAGACCTGGATGAGGACTAATGTCATACGAGTGAGCTAGGAAATAGAATTAGAATGGATTTCAGTTATGTAATTTTCTTTGTTAAACTAACTTAGAATGAAAAAGAGTGAATTAGAATGGATTTAAGTTATGTATTTTGAATGGATTTGATTCATGTTATTTTCTTTGTTCTAATGAATTGGAATGGTAAACAGTGAATTGAAATGAATGTTATTTTCTGTGTTATACTGAATTGAAGTTAATGAAAAAAGTGAATTGGAATGAATTCAAGTTACACAGTGATGAACAAATTTTGTTCGGACATACAATGCTGACAAGATCATTATTGTTTGACAAAACAGTTCTGAACAAAATACATTTTTTCGGCAATACAGTGGTGAAGAAATTGTTTTTATTCGGTTTAATAGTGCTGAAATGAGTAGACCAGCAACTGTGAAAGGGCTAGCAAGCATTTATGTTCGGCACTACAGTACTAAAAAAACCATATATGTTCGGCATTACAGTGCTAAACGAAGACTACCTGTTCGGCATTACAATGTTGAGTGAGTCAGTTTGATTCGGTTTTATAGTGCTAAACGAGGTGGATTTGTTCAGTTAGTTAGTGATGAATAGAAAATTCATGTTTGTTCATTAATCCAGATTTGTTTATTCAATGATGACCATAAAACAATAAACAAACCAATATTTCAAACAAAAAAACTATCAAACCAATTCAAACCATCAAACTAATTCCAAACCATCAAACCAATTCTAAACCATCAAAATAATTTATTGAGTACCCAAAAAGGTATGGTAAAGTCATATACAAGCCTAGCTCATACTTGTGTCATTTACAAACCACCTGTAGACGTCCTCCGAACGCCCCGGGAGGGTGAGCTCCCGTTCTGTTCATTTGGGGTCACTACAGCTCAGGACTCTCAAATTTGTCACGGTTCTAAATCTGAACCAAAGAGTCCAAATCCGGCAAATCGTTTTGAGAAAATAGATTTTGAAAGAAGTGCCAAACATGGACTGCTTTGCCAGATACAGAGTCGCCACCTAAATATTTTA